CGGCTGAGCGAGTCCCTGAAAGATACCTCAAGATTCGTTTGGCGGCAACCCAATGAACGTCCGTCGGTGCATGCATAAACTGCGACAATTTGTTGACAGAAAAACTTATGTCCGGTCTGGTTAAAGATAAATATTGGAGACTCCCAATCACGGCACGGAATTCAGTGGGATTAGTGAGAGGAGACCCATCAGCTAGCGTGAGACGTGATGTTGACGCCATAGGGGTAGACACAGCTTTAGCATCACTCATTTTCGTTCGCTGCAAAAGATCAGATATGTATTTCTTTTGGCTCAAAAACAGACCTTGTGCCGACCGTGTTGCTTCCATGCCAAGGAAGAACGAGAGCTGCCCAAGGTCTTTAAGAGAGAATCTGGTGGAGAGAGACCCAATGAACTCGTTGATCATCGTAGTGGAGGTTCCCGTAACAACAAGGTCATCAACATATACTAAGACGTATATGCACTCTGTTTCGTGACGGTGAATGAAGAGTGAAGTGTCGGAGAGCGAGTTCACGAAGCCACGTTCTATGAGGAAACCTCGCAATTTTGAGTACCAAGCCCGAGGCGCTTGTCGAAGCCCATATATTGCTTTCCGTAACTTGCAGACGAAGCTAGGACGATCTCTATCGAGGAAACCCGGTGGCTGTGACATGTAGACCTCATCGGATAGACGTCCTTGCAAGAAGGCGTTATTCACGTCTAGTTGACGAATGTCCCATTCATTAGTGACTGCAAGGCTGAGAAGTAGACGGATAGTTGTGGGCTTCACCACCGGGCTAAATGTCTCGTTAAAGTCTAGACCGGGTCGTTGATGGAAACCCTTTGCAACAAGTCTAGCTTTGCATCGGTTAAGCGAGCCATCGGGATTGGATTTTGTGCGGAATATCCACCGACAACCAACAACATTCATAGCCGGATTCGAGGGGACAAGTTCCCATGTCTCATTCCGCACAAGCGCATTGAACTCCTCACTCATTGCATTGCGCCATCGAAAATCCTTCATAGCTTCTGCAATTGTTGAAGGTTCCCTGGGGAGGTCATCAAAAGAAGCCATTAGTGTAAGCTTGGTAACAGGTTTTGTAATATTGTTTTTCCTCCTTGTCACCATTGGATGATGATTTCTTGTTGGCTCTATGTCCGTAGCTGTCGGTGACGGAGATACGGCATCGACAGGTGGTGATGTGTCTGAGGAATAGCCAGTCACAATCTCCGACGTCGGTGAAGGATGTATGCTCAGGGGCGGAGGTGACGATGTCTGAGTGGCAGGCGGAGTATATGGGATGATGTGTATGGCTGTGGGTTCAAATGTGACAGAAGGCGTTGACTCAGGTGGTTGTTTGTGAAATTTGGACAGGTTTAAAAAAGGAAAGACATGTTCATGGAACAGAATATGTCGTGACACGAACATGCGTGAGTTTTGAAAATCAAAACATATGGATGCGCTTTGGGTGGACGAGAGACCAAGGAAGACACAAGGGGTTGATTTTGGTGCGAGTTTATGAGGAGTATATGGTCGAATCCATGGGTAGCATAGGCAACCAAACGTACGAAGTTTCTCGTAGTTCGGTGGAGAGCCAAATAAAGACTGATATGGCGAGCTCATGGATAAGACAGGGGTCGGAAGTCGGTTTATGAGATATGTGGCGTGTGTGAATGCAAAGGACCAAAAAGAAAGAGGAAGAGACGCATGGTGAAGTAATGCAAGTCCTGTTTCGACAACGTGACGGTGTTTGCGCTCGGAAATACCGTTATGCTCGGGGGTGTGTGGTGGTGTGGTGTAGTGAGAGATTCCTTGTGACGCAAGAAATGACTTTAGGGCTATGTATTCGCCACCGTTGTCGGTGTAAAATGATTTGATCTTGGTAGAAAATTTATTTTCGACTAATGCTTTAAAATGAATAAATGTGTCTCGAACTTGAGACTTTTGTTTGAGTGGATAAAGCCAAGAGTATCGAGTGAAATGATCAACGAATACAACATAATATTTGAATCCGTCGATTGATAGAACCGGGGATGTCCAAACATCGGAGAAAATAATATTTAATGGATGAGTCGATGAAATAGTCGAGGTTGAAAACGGAAGTTTGTGGCTTTTATTTCTGGAGCAAGAGTCACAAAACGATAACGAGGAATCCCGAGATAACGGTAAATTAAACGACGTTACGACACGTTGTAAAATAGGGAATGCAGGATGACCTAGACGATAGTGCCACTCGGACAAAGTGGACTTTTGACTGGATAGGACGACGGGATAGGTGGGATTTGGTGCCGACGACCACTCATAGACACCGTCCTTAATTCTTCCTTTGACTAGTGACGCCCCCGTGCTTAGATCCTTCACCTGAAAAGTGTGTGGAAAAAATTCCACCGACACGTCATTAGACTTACAGAGTTGCGAAACCGAGATAAGATTTTTCTGTATCTTAGGAACGCATAAGACACGATCAAATGATAAATGTCGTGATGGTAGAGGTAGAGAGATTGAACCGATATGTGAGATTGGGAGTCCAGAACCATCTCCTAGCACTACATCGTCGCCGCCGGTATATGGACTGTGGGCTGTCAGAGTGTTGAGGTCGGACGTGATATGGTGGGATGCACCGCTGTCTACGAGCCACGAGGAAGTGTCATATGGAGGCATGAACGTGTGATTGACTCGCGGTTGCCGTTGCTGTGATGTAGGTTGCCACGGGGTCGGAGTTAAGGATGGACCATGGGTTTGTTCCGACTGTGAGATGAGTCGAAACTGATGACATCTTTGTGCACTGTGTCCAAAGGTTCCACAGGCTTGACACTTGCCTTGATATCCTCTGGATTGAGACGTGTTTTGACGATTCCATGAGCTTCCACGAAACGAGCCACGAGAGGTAGAGCGAGGCCTGTTGTGGACTGCATTAGCGGTGACAGGGAAATTCAACGAGGATAGTGTTGTCACCTGAATTTTTGCTTCGTGATGGAGAAGTTTTTCATGTAGTTCTTCGATAGAGATGGCCACGTCTTTGGCTTGCACCATGTCAACAATGGGCCTGTACTCATCCGACAGTCCATTCATGATCGCATCCAAGAGGTCTTCATGGTCGAGTGGTTTCCCGAGGATGGCGAGCTCATCAGCTTTTGTGGTGACAGATCGGATGTATTCGTCGACAGATTGTGTACCTTTTACACAATTTTTTATCTGATTTCGGAGTTGTAGGAGATGGCCTCTTGACGCTTTGCCGTATATGTTTGTGATGGTCTGCCAAGCACCATGTACAGAGGCTGAGCGTGCGATGAGTGGCTGAAGAGACAATGAGATTGTGCCGAGAATGGCACTGAACAACAGTCGGTCCTGCTGTTTGAAGGGAGCAAAGGCGGGGTTGTCAACTACAAGTCCGGCATGCTCAATTTTTGCCGGGGGAACCACTCCATCGTTGAGGAGAAAGCAGTCAAGTTTGTGTCCTTCAAGTAGTGGACGGATTTGCACGCTCCAGGTGATATAATTGGAGGAGATTAGGTTGATGACATTTGTCATGTTCACCGTGAGCAAGGTGGTGCTTGGGTTTTGTGCGTCAAAGGTTGCAGCAGAGGTTTCAGCACGAGGTTCGTTGGCTGTGTTGGCCATTTTTTTGTTTGCAAGGTGTAGGGTTTAGAAAGAAGACGAAGGCTGCTGTAGGTGGGAGAGAGGGAAAAAAATTGGTCTTTAGACTAATGGCTCTGATACCATAATAGCCAGATGAATTAATTCATATTATTCACAAGAGAGTGCAAATATATAGACACAATATACACGATGGTGGGAGAGATTCTTGTAACAATAGTATACTAGAGTTAAGGAAACTTCTAAATATGCACAGATTACAATCCCGTAGATTGTGATCTCTAATAGCAACTTCCATTTTTTTTAATTAATAATCCACAAGATATTCATGATTTTTCATCACTAATATTTTCAAAATTCACGAATCTTTAATGTTTTGTTTCTTTTCAGATAATAAGTGCGATACATAAAAGGAATAAGAAGGAGAAACATAACAATGTATATGAATCAAAATTACAAGAAATGTAATAGAAAATAAATATATAAACTAACCGAATGATGATTTATTGATGTCGACCGAAATTGACAAGAAAATCTCAATACAAAGAAATCTCCACAAAATGGACAGGTGGGGTGGGGCCAATCAATCCAAATGAAACAACCGAACGCATTCGATGGTACTCTATGTCCCAACATTGATGTGATGAAACCACTATATATATATATATATATATATATATATATATATATATTGTTTTTACACACTACATTTACTTTTGACAAAACATATCCAACGTACACAAAATATGTACAAAAAGGGTCCAAACAACGAAAAATTAAAATTTTACTGACTATAAAATTCAAGTCTATTAGCTATTTAAAATCTGCCATTTTTTTTTATAATATATCAATAAAAAATATGGAAAAAAATTTGATCTAAATAACCCGATATAATTGTTTCCGGGAATCATATATCTTGTCACGTAAAACTATATATTATTGAATCGTGTTGATTTATATATTTTTCTAAAATATATAATAGTAATAGATATTTTGGTTTCTTTTTTTTATAAAACACAAGCATGTGTATATGTATATATATAACATATAAAAAATAAATTTAATATGAAAATTCAACGGTTATAACCAAATTCTAATTAATATAAAAATAATTTAAAAAAGAAAAATTATTTAAAAATGAATAATTCTATCACTGATCCGATTTGAAAACTGCAATATTTATCACATGTATGTGTAATAAAACCAAATTCTAATCAATATTTACTGAAAATTGACCCAGCTAACTAATCCGATTTGAAAACTGCAATATTTATCACTCATAATAATAAAATAAAACAACAAAAAAATAGTTTTTAGAAAATTTCGTAATATTCATCTCCAAACCCAAAATCGATCATTTTTTTAATATTTATTTCCATTTTTTGAACTTTCAAAATCACTCTATCCAACGTCTGCTTTTCTTGTTGCCCTCCGTCTTCTTCCTTTGCCTCTCTCTCTTCACTTGTGTCCTTCTCGGACGTTTCTTTTTCTTTACGAGATCTCTCTGCAATTTTTTCTCCCTATATTTGCACTTTTCCTTTCTCCGAGAGTTGTAAGCTAAGAGATTCATGTGCATTTTCTTTTCCTCATTTCGTTCTGTGTCATCATTTCTCGGAAACCTCCTCTAATTTTCTCCGCCCCTTCAAATTTTCCGTTTTTCCCGATCGGAGATTTCTTCCACATGCCTTTCTCCTCCAGGGAATTTGAAATGTTTCTCCCCGGGCGTTTCTCACCGATTTCGAATGCGTGAAGTATGGATGCATTTCGTCTCGCCGGTCTCGGTTCCCGCGATCGATTTGGCTCCGTAGTACCCAACTCTCGTGAAGGTTAGACATAATTGCTCTCTTACCCTCTTTTCGCCATGTTTGGTTGCCGAGAAAACGTGAGAAAGTGAAGGAAATCGAGGGTTTCATGAGTTGCTTCTTTTCTACTGGAACAGACTTTGGGAGGGGATCCGCAGTACTCGAATTTGGGAAGAGAGATTTTTTCAAAAAATGAGTCGTATGTTTCCAACTTTTCCCTGATAGTTAATAAATGATTTCCTGGATAATTTTGAAATTTTCTCAGCTACCAAACAAACATAGCATCTACTGATTTTTTTTTTCTACTTCAGGTTGTTTGAAAATCTAATATAATTTGTAATGTATCTTCTCAGTGCCCTAATCGGTTAGGATTGCCTGCAATCCTTTTTCAGATTAACTTCTGGAAAAGTTCTGGAGAGAAGGCCCGAAAAAAAGCATGTTGCTTTGAGACAAAGAAAAAAAAAGACGTTGTTTATGTCTGTGCAAAACTACAGTTAAAGCGGTCGTTAGAAGATATGATGTTTCATTGTGCTTTTTAAGACATAAAGAACTGAAATCTTTAGGGCCTTGTTTGATTGGTGGTGTCATGGATCATGATTTGGTTATGCTCTTAGTCTTCGCTTTATTATGTTCTCTCCCACATTTTGTGCTAAGATTTCCTCTTTTTGTCTCCCACACTATGACTTTTCCCCTGCAAAAGTTGTTTGCTTTATGAATCAGTCATCTTCCATGGGATTCGAACTCCAAACCCTATAAACCCTCGATCCCAGAAGCAGAAAGTGTTGGGATCTCGATGTTGGAAAGAGTTGTGTCGTGACACTGTGGATTCGCAGTTTGCTTTGGGGATTTAGCCAATACAGGGCTAAACCCTATGCGTCAAAAAGCTTTTAACTTTTGTTCCGATCTAACTGTTGCGATCCGTTTCCAGGGAAGAAACAGATTCAGAAACTCAAGTCTCAGAGATCATCTCCGGATTCCAACTCTTACCACCGTGACAGTCTGGGTGAAGACACGGTATGTACACAAAGCACAGATGCAATGTGTTGATTTGCAGACATGATGGGATCTTTGTCTGAAATTAGTTCATTGCTCTTTTGTAGTTGGCATTTGAGCTCCGGTGGAAATCTGCTCACCAGATCGTAGGAATGCCTGTGAAAAGTTTGTTGGCGCAAGAGATGTCCAAGCAAAATGAATGTAAAAGGAGATCACCCAGCATTATAGCAAAGTTGATGGGTCTTGATGGGCTGCCGCCTCAGATTTCTTCCCACAAGCAACACAAGTCTGTGGAGAATCAACAAGGCAGGACGAGAGCATCCGAGAAAGCTCATGGAGGCAGTGCACATAATGCTGATAGATCTTTCAGAAGGGGATCAAAGGACGAGCAAGAATTCAAAGATGTCTTTGAGGTTCTGGATGCAAAGAAGGCCGAGAGCAGTAGAAACTTGTATCGGGGAAGGGGTAATGCTAATCTCACCAAGGCAGAGATGGCATTTATACGTCAGAAGTTCATGGAAGCTAAGCGTCTATCTACAGACGAGAAGCTTCGACATTCCAAGGAATTCAGTGATGCCCTCGAGGCTCTGGACTCTAACAAGGACCTCTTATTGAAGTTTCTTCAGCACCCAGATTCATTATTCACAAAACATTTGCATGACCTTCAAGGCACAGCTCCCAAACGGCACTACAGCCAAGTACCATCTTTGAAGTCTTCCAACTGCCCAAAGTATGTGGATAGCTTCGAAACCCAGAAGGCTGATAGAGGATTATTCAGGAAGGGTCACAGGTTGCGTACACCTAGCCAGTCTCACACTAGGCATGTTTCTTATGATAGTGCTCTTAACTTATCACAGGAGGAGCTGGAAGAGAGAAGTGTGTTGCAACCCACCAAGATCGTTGTTCTGAAACCTAACCTTGGGACGATTAGAAATGCCGATAGAACCCTTTCGTCACCGAGTTCTTCTGATGAGTTCAGGGCAGATCGAAGGCTTCCATGCACAAGCAATCGGAGCTCAGAAATGTGGGGCAGACAGAAAGCTTATGAAGACGTCAGCCTCTCGAGGCACAAGACTAGAGAGTCCAGAGAAATTGGCAAAACAGTCACTAGGCAAGTGAAGACAACTTGTGCTGGCACTAGTTACACGAACTTTGAGACTTCAGGATTCAGAGGATATGCCGGGGATGAAAGCTCATCTGGGAGTGACTCTGCAAGCGAATCTGAGTTAGTAACAGTGGCTGCAAGGGCAAGATCCACCTTTAACCGTAGGAACCACCATCGATCTTTGCGTTCCAGGTCATCTGAACTGTCTGAGAGTAGGGAGGCTAAGAGGAGACTCTCAGAGAGATGGAAGCTGGCGCACAAATCTGAGCAAGAGGGGGAGATATGCAGAAGCAGCACACTGGCTGAAATGCTTGCAATTTCCGAGAGGGAAGCTAGACAAGCAAGTTTTAATGGCCTCTCTTTTGAAGAGGGTTCTAGCAGAAGGTTTGATAACAATGTTGGATGGTCTGAGCGGTCAGAACCGATTGGAATCAGCAGTAGGGATGGTTGGAAAGGTGCATCCACAAGAAGTTATTCAAAACCCAGAACCATAATGAATCAGGAGAGCACTAGTGGTTACAAGATTGTGATACCTAAGGTGACAAAAAAGCAGTATGGGGAAGTATGGTTGTCGGGAAATTCCAGACCCAGCAGTAAGCGATCTCAATCATCGTACAATACTTCACCAGAGATCAACAACATCAGCCCAAGTTCAAGCAAAATCCATTATATGGATGACGGTGGTTTCGAACAGAGGCTTCCGGCTCTTAAAGCGCATTCCAGTTTCTCAGCAGATGTAAATTCAGACATGGAGAATGGTTCAAATTCGGAGGATACCAAGACCACCTTGTCTTGTGAACCACCAAACTTGTCGGCTTCCACCTCATTAACTGACCCTGTAAGTGAGGAGGATGTTTAAGTTGTGTTCTAGGTTATTGATTTATATATTCCATTGCTGAAGTGAAAAATGTTGGTTGTTGACATATGTAATGACATGTATCTTGATATTTAATGAGTTCCAGGATATCTCAGGCCGGTCAACCGAGGATGTAAATCAGTCTTCTGTTCATGAACTACAATCTCGGGAAAAGACAAAGGAAGGCAATCAACCAAGTCCAGTGTCAGTTCTTGAAGCATCTTTCCGTGATGACTTTTCATCCAATTCCAAGTGTTTTGAGAGTATCAGCGGGGATCTGCAAGGTAATCTGTCAACTTTTATCAGTCCTATTGTTCTCCTGCAATGAGATGTTTCTTCATTCTTGAAATGGGTAACGCAGACCAATATGTTGGTTCAACAGTCTTGTTTAAGATATGTAAAATTTAACCACATTAACCGGTCTCACTCTACATTCCAGGGCTCAGGATGCAACTTCAACTACTCAAACTAGAGTCAGGGGTTTATGAAGAGGGGCCCATGCTTGTTTCGAGTGATGAAGATGCAGATCAAGAGGAATCATCCAGACTAACAGATGAGAACATGATAGCCAATGAGTCTCGAGAAGATTGGAAATTGTTTTACTTGGTTGATGTCTTAGCCAACTCCAGGTTCAGTGACTCAGACCTAGATACTTTCATGGCGACGTGGCATTCCTCTGAGTCACCTGTAGCCCCATCTTTGTTTGAGGAGCTCGAGAAGAAGTACTCTGACCTAAAACCCTCAACACGGCTGGAGAGGAAGTTCCTTTTCGACCAGATCAATGGGGAGCTTCTCCAGATATTCCAGCAGGTCGCAGACCCTCACCCATGGGTGAAACCGACAAGAATCTGTCCAAAATGGGATACGTATCGGATCCAAGAAACTCTACGTGATCTGGTCACGAATAAAGACGGGAAACCAAGCAAAGATGCGGAGGAAAAAGCTCTGGATAAGGAGTCCAAGTGGCTGAGCTTGGAAGATGATATCGAAGTCACAGGTAGAGAGATTGAGAAACTGCTCACAGAACAACTCATCGAAGAGCTAATCGTCTAGAAAGGCACATTATATGTATACACAAACTGAAAATGCAACATGTAATGACAGTTTCATGCTCCATCAAATGATATGATGAAAATAAGGAGCTTTGCCCAAGTAAGAAAACTTTCCGTCTTTCTTGATGAACATCAAAAGCCAAGGTCAGGTTTAGGCAGCCATTGCCATGGATTCTCTTTAACAGAGTTGCAGAGGCCAATGAATGCTCTACTGTTCTGAAGTTTCAAGATTTGCATTTGGGAGTGATGATGTCCAGAACTGGGCACTTTTGATCTTTGAAATGCTTGCTAAGACCTCCAAGGGAGTGATGTCTCCGGTCACAGTCACCTTCTTTGAAGTGAAATCTATGTTGAAGGATGTCACACCTTAAAACACCAACACAAAGTAAAAATATGTAAAATTTAGTAACCCACATTGGATTTTTAACTAAATTCATAGAAAGTTTGAAGCTTTTGTGAATATTGTCAATCTTTAGTTCACATTTCCGATCTCTAAATCTAACACTGTGCACAAGAATTCAGACCAACTTTCTTTGAAAGCAATGGAGTGGCAGTATCGTGAATATCTCGAAAGTGGGGGGTTTTAAAGCAAATAAAAAAAGGTCTAACCTTGCATTCTGGATAGATGTTTCCTCACTTTTGCTTCGCAGCCTTTGCAATGGAGAGACACTCTCAGAACCACCACCTACTCTTCAAAAACATTCCATCGAACTTAACACCCTCCAATTACATCATATTTACAATCATGCCACCGACATTAACAAAGGCAACAAGAACAATGAAAAAGTTAACAGCCACGTCAACCCTAACAAACAACACCAACTCACCTGTTCTGAAGAGGATGAAGAAGTTTTCTTCTCTGACTCTCCCTCTTGAACTGCGTCATCGGATCCTCTCTTCGGTTCAGAAGTTCCGGAAACCGAGTCGCGACTCAGTGACCCGGAAACAGAATCCGGGTCCGAACCCAAAAGATACCTCGAAGAACCGGGAACAGCTCTCGAGCAGCTCAAACTCTTCCTCCCGAGACTGATATCATCGGCGATGAGCTTGAACAACGACGCCGCCGTACCTCCGCCGCTGCCACTGCTCCGGACGGCGGAGCTCTTCCTGCCCTTGTGGAGCTTCCTGATGCTGTTGACGTCACCGGCGGTGGAGGGCATTTTGGTCTTTTGCAGCAGGATGTAAGGGACATCGTCGACGGAGGAGCATGGCGCGACGGTAAACGATCTCCGACCGACTTCTTTGATGACGGGGTTGTGGCGGTCGATGGCTCTTCCTCCGTCACCGCGTTCTTCGGCGGAGGAGGTGTTGGGTTTGTGAACGTGGTCGGTGCTCAAACAAATGGCCGTCGATGCTTGCGATGCACAGAACATGTGGCCCTTCATTTTTTGTTATCGGGTTCTACACCGATGGAAAAAAATTGGAACTTTGTGAAGATCAGATCAATGGCAATGAATTAAATATATCTGCATCGCGTATCCATGTGTGTGTGTGTATATATAGAGAGAGGGGAGGAGAGAGAGAGAGAGAGAGAGAGAGAGAGAGGATGAGTTCAGGAACGTGGACGAAGAGGGAGAACAAGAAGTTCGAGAGAGCGTTGGCGAAGTACGACAAGGAGACGCCGGAGAGATGGCAGAAAGTAGCAGACGCCGTCGGAGGGAAATCGGCCGACGAAGCCAGGCGACATTACGAGGTTCTCCTCCTCGACCTCAATCTCATCGAGACGGGTCGGGTTCCTTTACCCGATTACGGACCCACTGACTGTCTCCATCGTACCACCACATAGGTATATATTATAACCTTGCATGCCCTTTTTTCCTTTTGCATTACAGAAATGTGAATTTGCGTAGTAAAAAAAAAGAACAAGTATATATAGAGAGAGAGGTGAAGAGAGAGAGAGAGAGAGAGAGAGAGAGAGAGAATGGAGTGTAACGCTCGTATGATTGAGCACTTCGTCCATATGTGTAGAAGAGATGTCAAACAGTAATTACATAAATCAAGTTCATATGATTTAATTATTCATTTTGCATATTTGATGACATGAAAAGTTGAGAATTAACCAGTCTTCTATTGAAGTATTAGTAATTATTTCTTTTTTTTTAATTTATCTTTATCCTCGATTTTTGTTTAATTTATTCTTATTTTTGTTAATTTCTTCTATATTTATTTTTGTGATTAAAAAAAGAAAACATATCAGAAGAGTCAGATCACACAGACAGCAACGGTCGAAAAACACAATTTTGGAGCATTTTCTTAAAATAGACAATGGTGCTTAAATGTTAGAGCCGGACAGAGGTCGTACCACAATTTATTTACTTATTTACTCTCTGAGTTTTGTTATTTATTGGATAATTAATGAGAAGGAATATTCATCATCTTTTTTTATAAAAAAAAAAAGATAAGGAATATCGGATGGGCTCAAACTTTCAATTTGAAAATCCCATATTTTTTATATTCAGCTAAACCATTTTTTCAATCAGCTAATAAAAATGTACAATGTTTCAAATTCCAATTTTAACGCAATTGGATATTTCCAGTATTGGTCCCTTAAATGAATGGATATTTTATAGGATTGATAAAATTATTAAATTCTAATAATTTCGAAATTAAAAAAAAATCAAATTTATCAATAAATCGAACTGAATTAAAATTTCACTCTTTCACAGTTTGAGAATCTCGCGTAACTATAAAAATATATTTTATATTTATTAAAAATTACGAATAATTTAAATTTTTTAAAGATAGAAATTAATTTAAAATTATAAAATATCTATTCATATTTACTAAAAAAACTCAAAATTACACTTATTTTTTTTACAAAATCGGTATTCCGTCATCCAAACATTATTTAGGTACACGAGGCACACTCTCTCTAGGTCTAGTTTCAAACTTTCTTTTTATATCTTATCTTCTTATCATTATGAGAAGATTAAAGGGAATGATAAAAAAATCCTAAAAAAACATTTGAATTTATCAATTTTAACAAAACTAAATCTAAATTTTATTTTTTTATCAAATAAAATTTCAACTTAATTTTTTAGTAAAAAATAAATCCAAAATTTTGAATTGTTATCATTTTTTAATCTGAATACTGACATGATGTACCGATATCTTATATGATAAATTGATACTTTGATCATATTTGAGATGTCATCATCCATATATCCGATATTGGTACGACATATCAGCGATGAATTTTAAAATATAACTGTTATAAAATTTAAGTTTATTTATAATATAAAAATTACGTTAGAGGTTTTATTTGATAAAAAATAAAATTCAAAATTTATTTTGTTAAAAATGATATTTTTTTCCCAAAAAAATATATATACACATTGAGTAAATAGTGAGTTTGTTTAATGACAAATTGTTAACCATCAATTTCTATCTACAATTACCACCAAGTTCAAACATCTATACACGCAGGCACATTTACACGTGTGTGTGTGTGTGTTATAATATGCGAATGCAAGTGTTCGAGTCCAAGCAAATTACAATTCCACCACTCGTGCCTATAGGCTATAGCGCGTGAAATGGCCGCCCATTCCCCAAAAAAAAAATAACAATAATAATAATAATCTTGAGTACGGCCCATTAAGCCCACATAACAAAATGGCCCATTAAGAAAAACTTAAAAGCCCAATTAATGCAAACAAAAACCTCAGTACTAAAATTGGGGTAATACCGTAATATACTAGTTCCAACGACAGTTTTAAAATTCGAGTTTCGAGTTTTGAACGCGGACTCCACATGCAACTTGAGACGAGGATTTAGGATCCGCTGTACGATTTTTTTTATGTGGTTATTTTGGTATTTTAGATTTCATAAACAATATATCTATTCATTGTTTTAATATTGCATTCAGTTTTTCTTTTAAAAAAATCGATTATTTTTATATACGATTGAGTTTTTTCGATTTTTGAAAACTAATATCCATTTAATTTGTATATGTACGTTATTAGGTTTGGTTTTGTGTATACAAATTCCAATGACGACCGTACAAGAATCGTTGAATTATTTGCTTACTCTGAAATCAAATGAATCGTATAATACTTCACTTTCATATAGTTTTTCAATATTTATTTATTTTAATTTTCTTTGGATTATTTCTATTTTTGTGTAAATAAAAAATTTGTGAAATAATATTCACGGTGAACCCAATAACAGCCCATAAAAAGCTCATTGGGCTCAAATAGGCTTTCCCATTACTGTTAGTCCTTAAACCCTGATTCACCACCGGAATAACACCGTCCTTACGCGGTTAGGGTTCCGCCGGAGAACGCCGCGAAGTAAACGGAGACCGCGTCGGAAACCGATTGCCATCGGCATTCACACGCTTATTATTGGTCGAGTATCTGTGTTCATCCATGTTTTGGATGAATCGGTGATTTTGTTTTTTTGAAGCGAGAATTAAGGCTCATGAGCTGCGAGACAAGTCGAAGAACGGAGCTTCTGAACCAGCAGACGGACCTTAAGGCAGAGCTCGCCCTCCTCCGTGTCACAAAGTTCATCGGAGGCGCTCCGAACAAGCTCTCCAAGATGTACGTATACGTCACTCCTTACTTCTGTCTTTAGATTGCGTTTTGCGTATTCATATAGTTTCTGTAGATTGCGTTTTATGTATGTGTGTGCCTATACATGTATCGCCTTATAACTCTTGAATTTTAGATTATCGATTGATTTCATTGTTTCTGTAGATATAGATAGTCATGTGTATATATCTCCATGTGTTTGCTGCTTGTTGGTTTGGTTCTAGATATGGTGGTGCTTATGTTTATATATATATATATATATATATATAAACTGAAGTGATTTTCGTAATGCGCATGGTGGTGAGGAAAGGAAATCGATAGCTCGGTTGTTGACTGACGGTGATCCTCCAGACCAGAAGTAGAAAGAAGCTCTAGGGAAGCATACAAGAACGAGAAGTACGTGCCTCTTGATCTCCGTCCCATGAAAACCCGAGCAATTCGTCGACGTCTCATCAATCACCAGGTTTGCTAAGTCTGCTTCCCATTTTTTAACTTTACCCTTTCCAGTTTTGCTGTATTAAACGCAATTCATAACATTTTGATCGCTCTCAGGTGCTTGTAGGGCGTTCTTTCTGTGTTATTTACCCGCAATAGTGACGAAGTAATATTTCTGACAACGGAGGATTATTTACATGTTTAATAGATGAATCCGATCGTATATATCATGAGATAAAGAACTTATTGTCCTTCTCTTCTTGTTTGAAACATACATAGTTACATACTCGAATCATTTGGTTGATGTTACTAGATTTTTCTCAGATTACTGAAGACGTTTTTGGCTTATGTAAAGTATTCCTCCCCTTAATACCTATTATCGAGATGTGATTTTTTTACAAAGAATTCTTTGTCCCGTAGCAGGCATCAGTGAAGACAGAACGTGAGAAGAAGAAGGAGATGTACTTTCCCATCAGGAAGTAATGCAATCAAAGTCTAGTTAACCAAATACTTCCAAATTATAAGCTTATCCGTTAACCAAGCAGTCCCCACTTCATCCCCTTCTCATGTTCACCATGGAGAACTTGTTCTTGTCCCATTCCGATATTCTTGTAAAACTCTGTTTACCACATTTGCCTTCTGCAAATCTCAGATTTATCTTTCAGAAGGGTTCACATTTTCGATGATAATTGTTTTGCATTCTCTTTCATAGTTCTCATCTCAAGCCATTTTTTGGCGATGAAACCTAAATATCGGTGCAACAGTTTGCCTTGCCATTCATTATTATTTTGGTCAAGAAAGTTGCATATTCCTGCTCTGAGGATAATTGGGTTCTCGAATCATACTTTGGCTATCCATATTCAATGTTCTTTCCTTTTGTAGGTATGCCGGGTCGGGACTGTGGACAATAGCTAAGAGTATACAGTAGCAGACGAGCAATCCATTACAGTGGAAAGCATGCCAGAAAAAGGAAGAAAGACAAGCCATTTCATGACAAGTAAGTAATCCAAGAACCCATCCTCTGTTCTGATAACGAAAGGTTATCTTTTGTCATTGTCTCTATGCCCATTTACCCCGAAATCGCTGGGGTCACACCAGAGGTCCAACCACTTGTGTCTTATTTACACATTGCCATCTTAACATAGGATCCCATCCTTAGTGCATAGCATCTGCTCATAGAATGTCACTTGCACATAATCTGAGTTTAGGTTCATGTTTTGTGCATTAGTAATAGTACCGACTTATGTTACGTTCTTTTCAACATTTTTTCCTGAATTTGGCCGCATTACGGATGGCAGTATTAGGTTTTGCATAATATCGTGGTACAATCATTGTCTTTTTGTTGTGAATTGTGAAACAATCCAATGGTTAAGCTTATCCAAAATCTGAAACCCAAACATTTGGTTGTTATGTGACTACAAGAAAAGTGCTTAGAGACGTTTCGAGATACCATTGTTTCCATATTTATGATAAACATCAGTGTCTAAATCTAGGGGTGTGGTGTCCATTTAGGGTTTCAATTATCTGCTTCATTTGGGTTTTTTTATAAAGCTATACCCATTTGGGGTTTATGCCAAATATTTTTTGGTTCGGTTTTGTAAACATTCTGTTTGCTCGAGTTGTATGTATCTTGTCCGCGTCTGAGTTTTTCTCTGTTTTTTATATCATAACAAAATTCATAATAGATTAATGTCATTAAAATAATAATTATGATGATAAATTGATATTGTAAAAATATTTTGAGTTAAGAGTAAAAATGGATGAATTAATTAAAAATATATATTTTTATGTTTTTTATAAATACAAAGATTAATTTAGATAATTGAATTTTTAATCCGTTTTTGTACGAAGTTAGAAAGAGGCATTTTAATGTTGTTGAAAAGAATTTAAAATGTTGAAGAGACGCAAGTGCTTAAAAAACTAGTTGGGTGAAGTGATGCTTCTGTTTGGAGACAGGAGAGAGCGTTGAAGCCTTTCCCTGTCTTTCGGACAGATTCATATCATTGCAATTTGCAACATTCTGTTTACATAGATAAAGCTAATAACAATAATAATATCTAGTTTTTTTATTTTTATTTCTTTTCCTGTCACATTCACAAGTCTTAGTTTAGTTGTAATCAAATATCATATCATGGACTGTCTGATATTTTTCGTTTTATTTGTTTTCTTTTCTTAAAAAAGAATGAAGTTTCTTTTCACCGACTTATCTTATTTCTTTGAATTTTGGTCAAACCCTCTCAAGGTTCAGTTCATCTTTTTTAGTTTCTGTTGGATCACTGTTTTATTTTTAGATTGTATATTAAAATATAATGTTTTATTTGTCTTGAAACATAAACTTAAATGTACGATTTTGTTATTTAGGGCTTGTTTTTTTGTGGTTTGTATTGTATATGAAATCACAAAACAATGGTGAATAATACTGAAACCACTGGATTGATGTGCGTACGCATTTTTTTTTTGCAGGTGCGCCCAAATAACATTTATTTAGAAATTTTACTGTAACCATACACAAAATCTGATATTTATCTTTAAAAAAAATTGTAAATAAAACGTGATATGCAAATGCTCGTGGTTAAAACTTGGTTCATCAATGAATTATCATTGCTGTTCAAACAGTTAAGGTATATATATCTAATTATCATAACAAAACTAATTGTATATCTAATTATCGTTTTTAGCTATAGAGTCATAAAAAATCTGTTTTTAGATATAAATACACCTATAAAGTTCATAATATTTGTGAAAATATTATTTATTTGTTTATATTATGATTTTGAAGAGAATAAGATTATAGATATTAAAAAAGTTTATGGGTAAGATCGATAGAAGAGAATTGGAGCCTAGAAACAATATAACAGGAAGGCTGTGCATATGGGAGAGTACAAGAACACAATTGTGGGAAAACTTGAGGGCATAAAGCAATTAGACTATGACTTAAAATAAACATGGTTGGGGAGAAACCTTACTGAATCGCATATTATTTTTTTTATAAGTTTGACTATCGAATTCTTATTTAATTAGATTGGACATATTTGTTAGTGTTAGTAGCGAGTTACTACACTTTCCTCCATGTCATTCGGAGATGAGTGTTGCATAGTTATTATTTTGTGATCATAATCATTACAAGCTGCTTTAATCATGACTTAAATGTAATTTAAGGACATAACCTAAGCTTTCATGCAGTTGAAAAATCATCATGCTTGTCATCACCCTCCTAGATTTTCCGCAAGATTTGGTCTTCCATGCGGATTTTAAATTTATTTTATTATAATTAATATTTTACCAACGAATACAAAACCCTTTTTAACCTAGAATTTATACCACAATAAAGATATCGAATTTCGGTTTGATTGGCGGTGGCCAATAGTTTTTTTTAGGATCTTTATAAAAAAAAGATTTAAATATTTAATAAACTTTCTATAATTATTGTGGAGCACTTACTATCATTATTTGATTCAATTGTCAACTAGCCAGGTAGTAAGTATTTAAACCATACTCCGTTAATTTTGTAAAACATATTTATGCTTTATATTTTGGTTTTTAGATCGATCTCATTTAATTTTTCATATATAAAAATTATATCCATTTAATTTTTATATGCCTATCGAGATAGTTTTTTTATATAAAAAATAATTATAACATAAAATTAGTATTATTTTTTTTATTGAAATTATTTTATATATTTATTAGTAACAAATCCAAATTAATGTTATAGTACTATTAATATTTTGATATATGTTTTTTGCAATGATTTTACAAAATTGTTGAGAAAAAGTATGAGATTTTTGTAGGTTTGACATACAACCTGGATTTTTTTTTTCCACCAAAAAGGTTATGGCAATGGCAACTCAAAATGAGAGAGGTCTCACTCTCTTGGCTGTAAAGCCCCTTTTACTCACCACTCTGTCTTTTTTTTTTCTCCCTCCAGTGGGTGTAATCAAAATCTCCTTTTCATACCCCAAAAAATATTCCAATTTTGATTTCATTCCAAATATATATATATATATATATATATATATGTGAGAGATTCTTGTAACAATAG